ATTGGCTGCTGGTGTGTTTTAGAATTCATTTTAAGATTCTTTTATTTGTTTTTAGGTCTCTAAATGGTTTGGCCCCCCTTTATCTTACAGAATTGCTGCATCCCTATAGCCCCTCTCGGTGCCTCAGATCAGCTGATCAGGTGCTCTTGGAGACACCGAGGGCTAGGTGGAGATTTAGGGGGGAAAGGGGTCCTAAGTTGTGGAATGCATTGCCCCTGTACATTAGGCAGGCCCCCTCGTTGTTCACTTTTAAAACTTATTTGAAGACTCATCTGTACCGTTTGGCGTTCGAATCAGTATGAGCCTCTGTCTTGTTGAGCCTTTGTTTTATGATGGGTGGTTGTTTTAAGTGTGATGTTTTATTGTTGCTTGTTTTATTTTGTTTTAATGGGTTTTGTGGATATTGTGTTAAGCACTTTGGTCAGCTCTGGCTGTGTTAAATGTGCTATATAAATAAAGTTGATGATGATGATGATTCAGACATAATTCTAAGACAGGATGAATGCAAGAAAACAATTGGTGTCAAGGTACACTTTCCAGAATCAACATTGTCTTCTAACCTTGAAGCAAAGCAGACTAGAGCAGACTTTGAATCTTACTAAACTGCATTATTAACACATTAAAGTCTAACACATTAATGTCTAATAATTATCTGATTGATTTACTAATATCTAACACTAGCCTGGAGCTAGAACATCCTGACTCTCCACTCATTGGTCTAGCGGACTTTAACAGAGCAAATCTCATCCACGAACTGCACAAATACAGACAGCACGTCACCTGTCCCACTAGGGACAAAGTCACACTGGACCACTGCTACACAACAATAAAAGATGCCTATCACTGTCCTGCGGAACCCTCGAACTCTCAGAACAATGTATGGTCCATCTTATTCCAACCTACAGGCAGAAACTTAAAGCTGTGAAGCCTGTGGTCCAAACAGTGAAGCACTGGACTGAGGAGGCTAAGTCAGAGCTACAGGCCTGCTTTGACTGCACAGACTGGAGTGTATTTGAGACTGCAGCTACAGACCTGGACGAACTCACTGACACTGTGTCATCTTATATCAGTTTCTGTGAGGATGTGTGTGTGCCCAAAAAGACCTTCTACACATACAACAACAACAAGCCCTGGTTTACAGCAAGACTCGAGAACCTTCATCGTGCCAAAGAGGAGGCTTACAGATGTGGGGACAGGACTCTGTACAGCCAGGCAAGGAACAAACTGACAAGGGAAATCAGAGCAGCAAAGAGGAGCTACTCTGAAAAGCTGAAAGCTCAGGTTTCAGCCAACGAGACCCTCTGTGTGGGGGAGCCTGAAAAGCATCACTGGCTATTGGAAACCACCCCCCCTTCTGTGGAGGACCGTCAACTAGCAGATGACCTGAACCCCCCCCCCGCCTCCCCTCAGCCCCAGCTGCCGCTCCCCCAACAATCACCACCCTTCCCTCCAGCCCCCCACCTTTAGCGATCTGTGAAAAGGATGTGCGTGGCCTCTTTAAAAGACAAAACATCAGAAAGGCTCCAGGCCCAGATGGTGTGACCCCCTCCTGCCTGAAAGTGTGCGCTGATCAGCTGGCCCCCATCGTCACACCTATCTTCAAAAAGTCACTGGAGCTGTGTGAAGTCCCCATTGGAGACACCGAGGGCTAGGTGGAGATTTAGGGGGGAAAGGGGTCCTAAGTTGTGGAATGCATTGCCCCTGTACATTAGGCAGGCCCCCTCGTTGTTCACTTTTAAAACTTATTTGAAGACTCATCTGTACCGTTTGGCGTTCGAATCAGTATGAGCCTCTGTCTTGTTGAGCCTTTGTTTTATGATGGGTGGTTGTTTTAAGTGTGATGTTTTATTGTTGCTTGTTTTATTTTGTTTTAATGGGTTTTGTGGATATTGTGTTAAGCACTTTGGTCAGCTCTGGCTGTGTTAAATGTGCTATATAAATAAAGTTGATGATGATGATGATTCAGACATAATTCTAAGACAGGATGAATGCAAGAAAACAATTGGTGTCAAGGTACACTTTCCAGAATCAACATTGTCTTCTAACCTTGAAGCAAAGCAGACTAGAGCAGACTTTGAATCTTACTAAACTGCATTATTAACACATTAAAGTCTAACACATTAATGTCTAATAATTATCTGATTGATTTACTAATATCTAACACTAGCCTGGAGCTAGAACATCCTGACTCTCCACTCATTGGTCTAGCGGACTTTAACAGAGCAAATCTCATCCACGAACTGCACAAATACAGACAGCACGTCACCTGTCCCACTAGGGACAAAGTCACACTGGACCACTGCTACACAACAATAAAAGATGCCTATCACTGTCCTGCGGAACCCTCGAACTCTCAGAACAATGTATGGTCCATCTTATTCCAACCTACAGGCAGAAACTTAAAGCTGTGAAGCCTGTGGTCCAAACAGTGAAGCACTGGACTGAGGAGGCTAAGTCAGAGCTACAGGCCTGCTTTGACTGCACAGACTGGAGTGTATTTGAGACTGCAGCTACAGACCTGGACGAACTCACTGACACTGTGTCATCTTATATCAGTTTCTGTGAGGATGTGTGTGTGCCCAAAAAGACCTTCTACACATACAACAACAACAAGCCCTGGTTTACAGCAAGACTCGAGAACCTTCATCGTGCCAAAGAGGAGGCTTACAGATGTGGGGACAGGACTCTGTACAGCCAGGCAAGGAACAAACTGACAAGGGAAATCAGAGCAGCAAAGAGGAGCTACTCTGAAAAGCTGAAAGCTCAGGTTTCAGCCAACGAGACCCTCTGTGTGGGGGAGCCTGAAAAGCATCACTGGCTATTGGAAACCACCCCCCCTTCTGTGGAGGACCGTCAACTAGCAGATGACCTGAATGTGTTCTACTGCAGGTTTGACAATCACCCCCCCCCCGCCTCCCCTCAGCCCCAGCTGCCGCTCCCCCAACAATCACCACCCTTCCCTCCAGCCCCCCACCTTTAGCGATCTGTGAAAAGGATGTGCGTGGCCTCTTTAAAAGACAAAACATCAGAAAGGCTCCAGGCCCAGATGGTGTGACCCCCTCCTGCCTGAAAGTGTGCGCTGATCAGCTGGCCCCCATCGTCACACCTATCTTCAAAAAGTCACTGGAGCTGTGTGAAGTCCCCTTCTGCTTCAAACACTCCACCATCATTCCAGTCCCCAAGACAACCCCCATCAGTGGACTGAACGACTACAGACCTGTCGCTCTGACATCTGTAGTTACGGAGTGCTTTGAAAGACTGGTGTTGGCTGACCTGAAGGACATCGTAGACTCCCTGCTGGACCCCCTGCAGTTCGCCTACCCGGCAAACAGGTCAGTGGATGATGCAGTCAACATGGCACTGCATTACATCCTGCAACACCTCGACTCCCCAGGGACCTATGCAC